CTCGCATTACTTTTTAATTACTGTAGTATCATAACTATATTTTGGTATTTATTGATAATTTAAGTTTCGTTAAAATTTAATGGTCCACTGAATCTTCACTTTTATTTAAACATTTACAATATGTATCTTTAGAATTTTAGAATTTATGTTATCTCCTTATCCTTTCATTTTTTTATCCCAACAATTTTATTGTAACGATATATATTGCTGCATATAAAATACGATATGTATATATATTCATTTAGTTAAGTGAACATGTTATTTTGACAATAAATATAAAGAATAAAAAAAATCGACAACATAAATTGCTTTAAGATGAAGAAAAAGACTCAAACTAGAAAAATAAAATCATACATTCCGTTGATTCATGATTGTACTCTATCTTATAAATTAATTTAAAATATCTATTGAATAATATTTTATTAATATTTTATATCACAACTTTTGAAATTGGTTCTAGATCATATCATATAAAATTGAATTCGACTAAAAACATAAAAATATCATTGATAAGATTATAAATTTCAAAACATGACACAAACCCAATCTTTGATCAACATGTGTTTTGAATCGTGATTAGAGCTAAATATTATTAATATTTTAGGAAAAGTATGAATTCGAAATAAATATAGAAAATTAATTTTAAATTTAAGATAACGCTTTCAAAATTTGACTGGACCGACATAAATTTAATATTTTTACAAGGGACAAGATCGAGTAGAATTAGATAACGTTAATTAATGGATCTGAGGTAACTGTGCAAGTCACTTGTCATATGACTGTTCTTTGGTTTGTGATTTCGACTAATCCTCTCACAGAATATTCTTTGGAATCTAAATATTTTTTTACCTCCATTTTTTTAATCAATTACTAAAATTTTTATCATAGCCAAATTGTTTGCAAAATAGTTGAGAATTATCATATAATTTTTTTTGAAAATAATATTTTTTAAAATTCGAATTTAAACACAACAAAGTATCAAGATTAGAATTTTTAATCAATTTTTTTAAAATTTGGATTAAAATTTTAGTTTAAAATTTTCAATGTTGAAAATTTGAAATTTATTTGTATTTTATGTTGAAAACTGTTATTTTAAAATTAATTACTTTTAACCAGAATTTTGGGTAACTTACTCCTAAAAAAATGCCACTGATGAAAAGATACAAAAAAAAAACATGAGGTGTGAGCGTTCAATGAACAATTTTTAGGATTGAAGAACTCCACGAGGTTCTTGCCGAGAATCATGTCGTCGGTGGTGAAATCGGCCTTTTTCCGACAAGTTCCACGGCCCAAATTGAGATGGTACGAATCGGTCCGACCCTCCACGATCCGACCCTCCACGAGGTCGAACTTCGGTTTCCATATCCAAACACATGTTTTGTCTTCTCCACCGACGCAAAAAACGTTATTTTTAAATAATTTGTAAAGTAGATGGTATTTTTTATCAAAACAATTGATATAAATATAATTTTTTTTAGGTTTAACAAAAAAATATTAAGGAACCCTTCTCCCATAGAAAATGTATAATAAAGGTGGTATAAAAAAATACATATTCATTTGATGGTGACTCAGTGATTAAGAGAAACTTCAAAATTTTGGATTCGATTCTACTAATTAAGAGGAGAGAAACCCAATTAATTACGTGACTAAAAACTGATTTAGAACTTAGAGGATTAAATGGATCAAAGGTTTAGTGAACTCCCCTAGATATAAAAAAACATAAAAAAAAAAATTGTAAACTTTTTCAATCCATCCAATGTTCTGGAAGGAGGCATAGAGGTGGTTTTAGCCATCACCGGTGATTTAGGTGTAGTTTTGGTGGTTCAAGCGATTCGATCATCGCCCTCCAACCCTTGGAAACAGACTTGAATCTCTTCAACGATTTTTTCAGAAGTCTCTGGAGTACTTTCTCTACGAACTCATGGGGAATTTTATATGATACATGATTCCAGTAGCTCTATGTTCTCAAAAAGTACTCACCATGTTGGCATCCTAATTTGCAAGTCAAGACTGTGTTCCATGAATTTGGCCATACTCTTCAGGATATACTTACCAAATATGATGAGAGATTAGTGTCGTTGGGTTTTGGAGATCCCTAAACATCCGTTCATAATGGTTTCTAGGGTTTCAATCTTGGGTTTCACGCAACGGATTATATAAAATGAAATCCAATCAACAGATCTTACATATAATGATAAAGGTATCGATATACCAACCAGTTTCGATCCACAGACTTGTCACAAACACTAAAATCAAGCACTCTCTACAGTTAGTCCACATTCACCGCCTTGTGTCTGTGATTAATGATAAAGGTATAGATATACCAACCAGTTTCGATCCACCGACTTGTCACAAACACTAAAATCAAGCACTCTCTACAGTTAGTCCACACTCACCGCCTTGTGTCTGCTAGAACGCGATCTGAAGGATGAGAACGAAAATCGAGGTGACCCACGAGAGAGAGAGGATGGCAACCAAAGGGAGATAGAGACGAAAATTCTCTTAATCACAAAATTATGTCTATCCTATAATTACAAGTGATTAGAGTTTTATTAAATTAAATAGGTCTAATGGATTTTCACTTAACCATTAAGAGAAAATAAGCTCATTAACCTCATTAATAAACATATGGGCCAATTGGGTCACCTAAACTCATCTAATGGATTTCTAACTAGTTTCACAAATCGATCGTGGCCAGAGCACCATATCCATCAAGTGTCTGATTCCTAGAATATCGAGTGGGATGCTATTAAATTAACATCCTAGTTTATGGAGAACTGGTGCTATCACAGATACTCACAATGATCGCTAGTTCCCCCTCCCTCTCCCCCAATGAGCTACTCCAGGTACATCATAAGGAGTCTTATTAATCCTTGGTTTTAGGGGCACCTTAATGAACATTGCCAAACATTATGAAACAGGAGAGACACTCCCTGATGAGGTACACGAGAAACTCCTGGTAGCAAGGACATTCTTTGCAGGATCTGACAGCCTTAATCAGGTTATTACAACGCAACTATCCAACGGTTTATGCATAGTGATGAGTATAGTGAAACGATTATGTACTGGTTAGAGTCTCCTTGTTCCAGGTGCAACATGCTATTGTTGATATGGAGCTGCATACAAAATATGTACCCGGTGGATCAAAGTCTAGCTATGATGATTGTCAAAGGGTATCCAGAAGAACAAACGTGATCCCTCCACTTCCTGAAGACATATTCATCTGTGACTTTACTCATATTTTTTCCAGTAAACTAGCCTGGTGGATGGATACTAGCATGGTGGATGGATACATTTGTTCAAGCTTATACTATTTCCTTCAAGTGCATCTTAATCTCATCCTTTAATGCAATCTCGCATTTTCTCTCTCTCTCTCTCTCTCGTCAGGTAGTGATTATGCAGCCGGATATTACTGCTACAAGATATCATCTTTTTCTTGTTCTGTCTACTTTAAATACGCGTGATCCTACTATCGGAGGCTGCGTGGATTTCATGAGTGACTGACAAAGGATGTGAAAAAACTGATGTAGTGGGCGGATGTACTATCTGCTGATGCTTTCTCAGCATTTGAAGAAGCATGACCGAAGGACATCAACGTAATATAACCCTTCCCTGCAAAAAAAAAAAAAGAGTCAAGATTTTGATGGATTGTGTTGATTTGTAAAGGCTATCAAAGAAACGGGATAGAGATTCGAGACATGGTACTTGCGCTCGGGGGAAGAAAGTCGCTTTTGTATGTAAAAAAGAAGGTTTCTGGCTTTGGTGTTATGTAAACTCAATTATTATAACAAATGTCTCTTTCTTTTGTTTTGGGAAAAGGTGTTTGTGGAGTTTAGGGGCAGGAAACCTTCCCTAGAGGCTCTGCTAAAAAGCGATGACCTTAGTTAGGGTTCTTGAAGGTGAATCGCCCCCTGAAAGCCCTTCTCTCGATCCATAGTAGCAATACCAATATACGTGAAGTACTTGCAATTTTTTTCCGGTATAAAGATGTGATTGTATTCCTTTCTAACGAAATATTGATTACTATACAAAAATTACGGGATTCCCCAGAAGGCAAAAGTGATTCCACGAAAACTATGTAGTACGATACCATTCCTATAAGATTTCATTCATACTTGAATTTGTCGAATTCTGCTAAGAGATCGATCAATCAATCTTGAGTGTGAATAGGTGAATCGAGTTCCGTGTATCTTTGTGTCTTAATAATTAGTTTCAGCACTATAAATACTGGTTACATAAATCCTTTTTTAAAATGTTTGTGATATATTTCCTTCTCTTTCATTTATTAACAAAAATTTTGTGTGCTTTGTTAATATTTCTTAATTAAAGAGTAAAATTGAAAAACAACAATTTGAGGATTCTAAATAGAATAGATATTTATAGATTGACTGTTAATGTTTTTATGTCGAAAAGAGTATAATAGAAATTTAAAAATTGATATGGTCATTTATTAAATTTAAATTTTTAAATAAGAATTAATACGGAATATTTCTCTCATCACAGAAAACATAATAATAAAGTTGGTACAAGAATGAAACACAGGATAAAAATAAAAAGAAGAGAAACTTGTAGACTTTTTCAATGTATCTGACGTCTTCGTGGAAGGAGGCGTCTAATGTAAACACTAGATTTACACCAAAATATTAATCCAAGACCAACAAGAAAATCAGCAAGAACAAGAAGAACAGTAGGGTCTTGAGGTTTCCCTTCCTCCAATTTGATCAAATACTTTCTGCTGCCATTCATAACCAATGGTATTGTCTTATATACACATGTCAACTCAAAAAGGCTAATGTCATTAGGGCTTTTCCCCTTCATGTCCATTGCCTATAGTACCCTTGTCTATTACATATTTAATATAACTAAATAACTTAGCTCCTATCTTGCTAAGCCTTGTCTGATGTTTCAATCTCGGAGACGTTTCCCGCTTCCTCCTCTTTGTCTCCGATCATCGACGATTCCGTTTGCTTCTTGCCTTTGCGCTTCCTCGAATATACATATCACAATGGAGGTCTATCAATACTCCCCCCAAGAAGTTTCACCTTGTCCTCATGGTGAAAATCGGGAAACTGCCTTTCGACGGTCTCCACAGTCTCCCACGTGTCCTCAAACGGAGGTAGGTCTTTCCAACGCATAAGCACTTCTTGACCCCCATCTTTTGCTCGAGCACGTATCTTCTGAATGCTTTTTGGTTCCACTATCAATTTGAGCTCGGGAGTTAAGTCTGAGGGGATGGATTGCGTCTCAACTCGAGGCCCGACACCCACCGCTAACTTGAGTTGCGACACGTGAAAATCCGGGTGAATGCGGGTGGTGCTAGGTAGCTTGAGTCGATAAGCCACCTTCCCTATACGTTTTTCCACCGAAAAAGGACCAGAGTACCGTGGTGCCAATTTCTCATAACGTCGCTGAGACAATGCACGCATGCAGTAAGGTCGAAACTTCAAATATACAATGTCTCCTTCTTGAAACTCAATATCTCGACGTTTCGCATCCGCCCCCGCCGTCATCAATGATTGGGCGCGACTTAAGTTCGCTTGAAGCTCCGCTATGATGGCGTCACGATCCTCCAACATCTTCTCAATTGTGTCGTTCGGGCTCAAGTGCCAACGGTCCCGATGTAGTGTTGGTGGGTCTCTCCCATAAAGAGCCTTGAAAGGGGTCATCTTGATAGATTTATGGTAGGACGTGTTGTACCAATCTCTGCCCAGTCGACCCACTTAGCCCATGTCCGTGGCTTATCCCCCCCAAAACAACGCAGATAAGTCTCTAAGCATCTATTAACCACTTCGGTTTGTCCATCAGTCTAAGGGTGGAACGAAGTGCTCATCTTGAGTTGAGTGTTGTGTAACTCGAAGAGTTTTCTCCAAAAGAAGCTTAGAAAGACTCTGTCACGATCCGTGACGATGGTCTCAGGTATCCCATGTAATCGCACAATCTCAGCAAAAAACACCTCATCAACCCCGGATGCTGAAAAAGGATGCCTCAAGAGCAAAAAGTGAGCGTATTTGCTCAATCTATCAACCACTACCAATATGGTATCTTTTCTTTCTGAAACGGGCAGCCTTTCCACGAAGTCCATTGAAATATCAGACCATACGTGGTTAGGGATATGAAGTGGTTGCAGGAGCCCCCCAGGGGATAGAGTTGAGGTCTTGAAGCGTTGGCACGTCTTGCAAGCTGCCACAAATTTAGCCACATCACTACGCATTCCCAACCAGAATACCTCTCGCATCAACCTCTGCACTGTCTTGTCGACCCCCGAATGTCCTCCCGTTGGTGTGGCATGATATTCTTCCATGTACTGAGTGGTGAGCTCGGATTTTCGAGGTATTACTACTCGATCATCATAATATAGCCGGCAGTTGGACAACTTATATCTCCCTACCGATCTTCCAGCTTCGAGATCGGCCTTAACGTCTCAAAGTACGGGGTCCGTGGCAACAGTCGCGTCCACTCCTTCAAGATCCACCCCGCTTGCTGACATCCATCCGAGGTGATGTTCATTATGCTCTAGAGGTCGGCGAGACAACCGATCTGCCACGATATTCTTCTTCCCAGGCCTATACTGAACATCAAAGTCGAATCCCATGAGCTTAACCATACACTTTTCCTGTGCAGCCTTAGTGAAACGCTGCTCTAATACATATTTCAGACTCTGTTGATCGGTGCGAACCACAAACCGTCGCCCCCATAGATAATGCCGCCACTTCTGAACCGCGAGTACGATAGCCATCAATTCCTGTTCGTAGGTCTCTTTCAATCTATCGGTTTTGGAAAAGGCTTGGCTCATGTAGGCCAATGGTCGTCTTCCCCGCATCAGGACAGCACCTACTCCTTGCATACAAGCATCAGTATCCACCATAAATGGCTTACTAAAATTTGGCAAGGCGAGCACCGGTGTAGTGGTCAATGCTCGTTTCAATGCCTCGAAGGGTTGAGCAGCTTCTTCGCTAAAAAAAAAACACCCTTTTCAAAGTAATTTCGTTAGTGGCCAAGCGATCTTGCCGTATCCCCTCACAAATCTCCGATAGTATCCCGTTAATCCCAGGAATCCACGAAGTTCTGGAATTGTCCTTGGCGTAGGCCAATCTGTCATCGCGCGTATCTTAGCTCCTCCACCGAGACTCCTTCCCTCGTCACCACGTGCCCCAAATAATCAATACTCTCTTGTCCAAAACGACATTTCTTTCGGTTTGCATAGAAGGCATTGTCCCTTAAGATCGTAAAAACAATGCGTAAATGTCAGCGGTGTTCATCTTCTGTCACACTATACACCAGAATGTCATCAAAGAAGACCAATACAAACTTTCGTAGATACTCCTTGAAGATATCGTTCATCACTGATTGAAGAGTGGCTGGAGCGTTCGTCAATCCGAAAGGCATAACTAGGAACTCGTAGTGCCCCTCGTGCGTCCGAAAAGCCGTCTTCTCGACATCTCCGGCCTTAATACGAATCTGATGGTAGCCGGATCTCAGGTCGATTTTTGAAAACATGGTCGCACCATGAAGCTCATCCAACAACTCATCAATCGTGGGAATCGAAAATCGGTTCGGTATCGTCGCCTTATTCAAGGTTCGATAGTCTACACAAAACCGCCAACTCCCATATGTCTTCTTCACTAAGATGACTGGGCTCGAATATGGACTCACACTTGGTCTGATTATCCCTGTCGTAAGCATGTTGCGCACTAACTGCTCGATGGCGTTCTTTTGCACGTAAGGATAACAGTATGATCGGACATTTACCGGTGATTCTCCTTCGCGGAGCACAATTGCATGTTCCCGCGTGCGCGAGGGTGAAAGTCCCACTTCCTCCTGGAACACATCCTCAAATTGATCGATGAGTCGACGTATTCCGTCTCCCGGCTCCTCATATTCTCCACTATCCTCACGGGTCAACTCTGTCAACTCAATTATCACCCCTTCTTTCCTCTTTCGCAAGGTATACACCATTACATTGAGAGAGATCTCTGAACGTATCAAGCTCGAGTCCCCCCCTTAAGAATGACTGTTTGTCCATCTCGTTGGAATTTGGTCGTGTGTCTCTTCCAATCTATTACGGTCTCCCCCAATGTCTCTAGCCATCGGTACTTTGAGTATAACGTCCGCACTCCCGAGTTCAAAGACCAATAAGTTGGCTAAAATCTCCACCCCTTGCACTATTAAGCCCAAATCCTTGCACTTTCGCGGGCTAACCAAGACCTCTCCATTCCCCATCGAGATCTCATATTTCTGACTTAGGTCTACCCGAAGGTCCAATTGAGTTACGACCCTATCCGAGATAAAGTTATCTGTCGCTCCACTATCGATCAAGATGACAACGGTGTTGCCCAGAAGCTCCCCCACGATTTTCATAGTATGTTTCGAGTTTATCCCCACGATGGAGTTAAGGGATAATTCAGCAACTCGATGGCTGATAACTCATATTTTTCTCTACATTTTCAGGGCGTTTTTATAGGATTTGGACGAGGATCACATACATTTGTAGGCATTATAGGCATGTTAGGATACGAAATTCGGTTTGGTAGTGTTTTTATAGGATTACAGGTCTCGTATGCGATTTGGAGCAAGACGGGAGCAATCTGGAGCTAAAATGATGAAATAGTCAAGAATTTCCCGCCTTGACTCGGCCAGAGCCAACCAGGGGAATTGGGCCGAGTCAACACGTCGAAAATGGCCAAATTCAAGCTTGTTACGAAGAGACCGAGTCAGAACGTCCGAGTCAGAACACCCCGAGTCAACATGTCCGAGTCAAAAAGGCCCGAGTCAGAAGATTGGGCTGGGCCGAATTCTTATGAGCCCCGTTTTGATTCGGTCGAGTTAGAGTACTGACTCGACCCGAGTCAGAACCCAGAAAAAACCCAGATTCGAATTTTCAGAATTTGAACGGGAGTAAGACTTCAAGAGCGCCGCCTAGGGTTTATAAAAAGTGTCTACAGACGTCCAAGAGGAGCAGACAGACTTTATACAGACTTTGGAGAGCTTTGGTGAGGGAAACTTTGGAGAGCTTTGGTGAGAGAAATAGGAGTTTTACGGGATTTCGGGAAGAAGGAGAGTTGGAACGTGAAGATCGCTTTGCTGTCGACATGAGCCTTTCTTCTCCCTTTTTTGTTTCTGTTTCTGGTTTTATTCTGTGTTTTTCCATGAACCGTGAGTAGATCCACGGCTGTGGGTTAGGGATTCGTTTGTGTTTTGGGTATGTTTGAACCCTAACTTGGTTGCGATTTGAATTTGTTTCGGTTTTATCGATTTGTGCTTTATTCAATTGGTGTTTGCTGACCCTTTGGCCAATTGTTTTAGATTCTGAACTACATAGGAATATGGGTTTAGTTTTGGATCAAAATCGATAGAATAGATCGTATTATTCACATAGAAATATGGTCTGATCGATCTAGAGTTGATGATAGCGTTCTTCATGCATCTAGTTTGATAAATCACCTAGGGATATGGATTTAGAGAACTGTAGATAGTGAGTTATATATCGGGAGGTGATTTCTCTATCTTTGTTGCTTGACGATTCCCGAATATAGATTCAATATCGTGATTCTCGCATGCTTAGCATATACCCATACACGCAAATACGGTCCTGACATCCACGATCATCTTAGATTGCAAGTTTACTCGTTTTTATTGTTTTGCTTCCTTATTTTCTATTCTTTCCATATACTTCCACCATCATTTTCACTTCTACTTGCTTTGATTTAGTCTCGATTATATTTAGATTTAGCAACCGATCCTTGTGTTCGACCACGTGTTACGACGATCTGTATCCTTGCGGTGAATTGTGAATCGGGTTATAGATTTTAGACTCGGTACACACGTATCAATGGCCATCATGTTCGTCTGAACCATCTCCTTTATCTTCGACCTCGTCATCATCAATCACCATGAGCTGAAGAGAGCGGCGAGGGCAACGATGTCCAGGATGCCATTTCCCATCACAACGAAAACAAATTCCCTTAGACTTCTTTTCTTGTATTTGCTCGAATGTGAGTTATTTCGATCCCATCAGCATTGCCTTTGAACTATTCCCCGTTCATGAAACTCCCCCCAAAGGTTTCAGTGAGAAGGGTTTCGGTGAAAAGGGTGGGCTTCGGCTCGATGTCATCGTACCTGAGCTCCCCCTGACTTAGGGTGCCGGTCTATTGAGCCCCCTCTCCTCAATGAGTCCCGACTGCTCCACTCGATGCGCCATATTCCATAATCTGCTACAGATCATTTACGAGAAATAGCTTCACACACTTGGCTATGCTCGGTTTAAGTCCACGGAGGAAAGCCTTCTCAAGAAATTTGGCACCTAGGTCATGCGCCGGTGCCCGAATCTCGTCAAATCGTTTGCAATATTCCTCCACAGAACCGGTCTGATCTAGTACCATCAAACTCTCATACGCTGATCCTGATTCTCCATGTCCAAATCGGATCAATAGATGTTCCCTGAAGTCCTCATATCCTAAGAAAGGTTTTGCAGCCTCTTCACACTGAACCCAGATTAAGGCATCACCGCACATATGCCATAGCACAATCTCTTTTTACTCCTCGTCCGGTGTCTGGTAGAAGAGAAAATACCGCTCAGCTTGCATCAACCAACCTTCCAAATTCTCACCATCGAAGGAAACCAACTCCGTCTTCTTACCGTAGTCGATCGGTGGACTCGGGGTCACGTGACCCCTGTCCCCAACCCTTACGGTCGTAGTTTCTCTGTTTTCAGAGCGTTGCGGTTCAACGGTTTGTCTGCCCAACCCGGCTTCACCCCTGAATGCTGCCTGAGATCTCTGTTCCTGACCCACAGCCACATTACCCAGCGGTACGATTGGGTTTGTCGGACTCGGTCCGCCCTGTTGGTTTAGAGCTCGTTCCAGTCGTGCTCCCATGGCCTCCCACGCACGCATGAACTCAGTCCCCATGGAGTTCATAGCCTGTAAAATTTCAGACAAAACGAGATCTCGAACCTGAGAGGGGTTTCCGAAATTCCCCTGTGTCGTAGGTATGCCAGTAGTTCCTCCGTCTGCAGCAACGACGTCGCCCGGTACCGGTTCGGTTGCTGCTGGCGAGTCCTCCTCCTGTCGCGGCTCCTCCGGCGCCGTCGCCGACGTGTCTCTGGGCTGGGTACTCTTTCCTCCTCTCGTGTTGGCCATACCTTTGTTGTGTCTCTGTGCTTCTCGGTTGCTGTTCCTCCTCGTCGGCCAGCGCTCATCTCTTTCTTCTCTCGGAGCGCCGCCATTCGCTGGTGTTGGTCTTCGGTGGCTCGGTGTCAGCCCTCTTGGCAGAAGTAGTGTCGTGCTCGAAGAGAGAGAAATGGAAACTGTTCACAGAAGACAACAACACAGGTCTCGATAAATACTTAGGGTTTTGGTAACTCGATAAATACTTAGGGTTTTGGTAAGTGGTGTTTGTCACTAAGTTTGAGGAAGGAAAAAAAAATTTGTGATTTTCCCTAGATTGTTGGCTCTGATACCAACTGATGTAAACACTAGATTTACACCAAAATATCAATCCAAGACCAACAAGAAAATCAGCAAGAACAAGAAGAACAAGAAGAACAGTAGGGTTTCGAGGTTTTCCTTCCTCCAATTTGATCAAATACTTTCTGCTACCATTCATAACTAAGGGTATTGTCTTATATACACATGTCAAACTCAAAAGGGCTAATGTCATTAGGGTTTTTCCCCTTCATGTACATTGCCTATAGTACCCCTGTCTATTACATATTTAATATAGCTAAATAACTTAGCTCCTATCTTGCTAAGCCTTGTCTGATGTTTCAATCTCGAAGACGTTTCCCGCTTCCTCCTCTTTGTCTCCGATCACCGACGGTTCCGTTTGCTTCTTATCTTTGCGCTTCCTCGAATATACGTATCGCAATGGAGGTCTATCAACGTTCCCGTGGATAAAACAATCGTCGGTGATTTAGGAGCGGTTTTGGTGGTTCAAGCGATTTGATCATCGCCCTCCAACCCTTGGAAACAGACTTGAATCTCTTCAACGATTTTTTCGGAAGTTTCTGGAGTATTTTCTCTGCGAGTTCAGGGGAAAGATGGATTCCAAAACTAGGATTTCTCTTTTCCGATGCCATTGTCTTCTGCAACAAAAGAGAGAACTGAAGATTTAAATGAATGAGAGTTAGGGTTTCCAACTTACTTCTAAAATTATCCAAAGTATTATTTTACTTTTAGGATTTAAGAATTGGAAGGTTGGCATTACCTTTTAATTAATGTGATATCATAACCGTGTTGTGGTATTTGGTGATAATTTAAGGAAACTTTGGTGGTTGATGGTCCACTAAATCTTTACTCTTTTTTTTTTTGACATTTAGAATCTGTATATTTTGTTGAAAAAAAATTAATCTTAACCAAATTATATACGAATATAGTTGGGAAAAATTAGACTATGGATATATTTTACTTTCCAACTTACTTCAACAATTTCCTTTTTTTTTAAAGGATAAATCACTAGAATATATAAACTATTTTGGAATTTTTCTCAGCGTTTAAATTAAAAAATAACTTGTATTTTATATTGAACTTTTTGTCCAAAATTAACCAGATGTTTCTTTCTGAGAGAACATTTATATTTTAAACAATAAACCACGAAGTTTGTGTGAATTAAGCACCAAAAAAAAAAAACTAAAGGTCACATGAAAACCTCTCTGTTATAAAAAGATGCAGAGCTGTGGACAATTTTCAGGATTGAAGAACGAGGTTCTTGCCGAGAATCATGTCGTCGGTGGTGAAATCGGCCTCTTTCCGGAAAGTTCCACGGCCGAAATCGAGATCGTACGAGTCGGTCAGACCCTCCACGAGGTCGAACTCCGGTTTCCATCCCAACACATGCTTTGCTTTCTCCACCGACGCAAAGAAATGCTGCATACATACATACATACACACAGACACCGAGTTCATGTAAATATTCTCTAGTGTTGTCTGAAGCCGGAACATATCAGTTCTGCAATGAGGACATGATTTTGTGAAGAGGGTAAAAGGCAGAAAGAAAAAAATTTGAATCTTTACCTGATCACGGAAGGGGAATGCCTTCTTCTTCCCAAAGTCGAACTCTTTCGGGTTATAGTGAACGATCTCTGGCTCTGGGAACCCGCCGGCCTGAAAAATTGAACAAGAAAACGTTTATCTCTGAGATAGCCGGTATTATATTCTTCGTTTTCCGATAAAATACTAATCCAAAGAGCCTATTATTCAGGTCTGTATATTCGGCGTCCACGAGCTATGATCCAAAACTATGTAAATCTTGCAAGTTTTTCGTTAAAATCTGCATTAGTATAGTTTGGGGAGGGTGACTAGAGCTGATGATATCTCGAACAACCAAAAGAACAATTTCACAAATCTAACCATAAAAATTTGGAACCGATGAGACGGGGAAATGGTAAAAACACGAAAACAATGAATGAAAAGTTTACCTTTGCGCAGGCCCTTGCTAACCCATCAAACGTGACGTACTTCTCTCCCGAGATGTTGAATACTTCTCTGCTGGCTTTCTCATTGCCAAGAACAATTTGAAACGCAGTTGCCAAGTCCTGTGATTGCAGAATCATCAGACGTTAGAGATTAAATCCAAAAAGGTTTATCCTTTTAGATCTTTCGACTCCTTATGACGGAAAATGAAGTGGTTTGCATTCAAGAAGTGAAACCAAACAAGTAAAGGGTTTCAGTTTATGGATCTTCCAAGCATAATATATCTCCATGAAACTTGAAACAAAACAATGTCACTGACCTTCACATGACCAAGTTGAGTGATCTGTATTCCAGAGCTTGGAACTGGAATGGGGCGACCGGCTTTCAAACGGTGGAAGAACCATTCTTCCACGGGGTTATAGTTCAATGGACCGTAGATGTAAACAGGTCGTATCGAAGTCCAATTGACACCTCTTGATTCCAACAAGCTCTCGGTTTCTAGCTTCCCCTTGTGCCTGCTCTTCGGGTCAACTGCATCTGTCTGCATTGGTTATGTCCAGAAACCAAAGTGATCAGATAAGGGTTTTTTTAGCTTACAATCTTTTATTTCTGTGCATGAAGACATGATATATTTCACACACCTCACAGTGTGGCAAGAGATCAGATTTCAGATAAACACCGGCTGAAGAACAGAAGATGAACCTATCATTGACAGAATATCACGGTTTTGCAAGATCCATCGTGCAAATAAAAGCTACGGAGAAAGACCCATTTGGACAAAAACTGACAACAATCTCAAGAGAATTGAAGACAGTTTCCGAAACCAAGTAATCAGCAGCAAAGCAAAACCGGACAGTTCTCATACATTAGCTTTTGGAGAGCTTACTGTTCTAGTGTGGGAAGTGCATCCAATATGGGGGCAACTTCTTCTGCTTCTCTTCCTAAAAACAATGGAACAGAAAACCGCAAGTGTTTTACCATATATGATGTGTTTGCAGAGGAAAAAACGGAGATTTTTTTGTTTACCATTAATATCGTAAACAACATCAAAGCCTTCAGCTGCGAGACTGGATTTCACGAAATCATAGTCCTTTCTGTCTCCTTTCAAATGAAGAATCTAAGGAAGATCGAAAATTCAATCGTTGTAATCCACAGTATCTGATGAATCATCCATCCTACAGCTCAACTTTTTTAAAATCATGTAATACCTTGGATGAAAAATCAGCAAAGTCTTCATCAGATTCGCCCGGTAATTGCTTGGCAATAGGAGCTTTACCTCTTGTAAACAAAGTAACCTGCAGAAGCCGTGATTCAGCAAACACGATCATAAGAAGAAAGTATTCGGGAAGGGAAAAACTGAATCGGAGATGGAAGAACAAGAACCTGGTGACCATCTTTCACGAGGAGCCTGGACAAGAACACACCGATGAATCGGGTGCCGCCCATTATCAGAATCTTCTTGGCACTCGATGCTGAAACATGAAGTGCTCCTTTTGGCCTGTAGGCCTTCCTCTTATACTGCAGTTTCAACACCAAATCCAACGGTAGGCAAAAATCTTATTCCCATGATTCAAGAAACGCTAATAACTGTAATCTGAAATATCACTTCAAAAATCATCTTGAACTATCAAGAACTCCAAAGCTAGAACTTTACAAAAGCCTCGGGCTTTAACTAATGGAAATTTTCTCAAAGTAACAAAAATATAAAGTGGTTGAGTTTGGAAAACACATTACATACAGAAATCTCTGAAATGTTACTTGGAAAAACAAAATCTTTGGGCTTTATCACAGAAACATAAAACCAGAGGTTGCAACAGAACCAGACATGATGTCTGCAGATACCCATTCACTATTACCACACAGAATTATCACAAATTAAGAAGTTGAAGTGAAGAAAAAAAGAGAGGGGAAATTGAACAGAACCCACATGCTAAAACCCTGAAAAGCATACAAATTTGAAAAATTGATCATCAGCAACGTATGAATAAAGAAAAAACAAGATCTGGGCTTGAAAATGGAGCTCAAATCAGTCAAATCAACAAAGAGGAACGCGGGAAAAACTAGATATTGGAAGAGACAATTAACTAAAACCCAAAAGAACACACAAATCGTGAGAATTGATCACGAATAGTGAATGAACAAAGGGGGAATAAAATAACCTGGACTCGGAAATTGAGCTTGGTTCCATTGAAGTCAGAGAGTGAAGAAGAAAGGGGAGAGAAAGAAGGCTGGTGCTGCTGCAACACAACCATCTTCGCCATTGCTGCTTGCTTCTCTCTCTCTCTCTCTCTCTATCTGAGCTCGTGAAGAAGCTGAAGAAATGGTGTTAATGAACTTGGGGTGTGTGTATGGTTGGTGAGGGTCCCATCTTCTTGTTCCTTCTGTTCACTAAGTTTCGTTTTTGGAGAGTTTCGAGGATAAGACAATTATCTCAGCCTCTCGCTGTTCATGGTCACGTATTTACGACCATTGTCGTCCTCTTCTTTGATAACTGCTTTTGTCTTTTGGTGTTTCGGGGCTATTTTGACCAGAACAAAAGTTTAGTTCCATAATCGAAATAACCTTTAATATTGGGGCATGTTTCAATTTGGGCCTTAGTATTAATCGGTTTAGTTTGGGCTTTATTTCCAAAAAAGCTCATACTTGGGCCTTCAGAATAATTAAAGGAAAATAAGGAAAATAAAAATTAAATGAAATCACATAGCGCATACGTACGAGAAATTGAAGATCTGGGAAATTTCCTCGGGAAAATCTTTCTCCGAGGGAAAATCTGGACTTCTACAAGGAAGAGGAACGACGGGAGTGGGTTTCTGCTGATCACCAGGTTTCTTCTTCGGTTGATTGATAACTTCGTTGTACTCCTGGAGATGGACCCTAACCAGGTGATTCAGCTGATTATTTCCTTCATTTTTTCGTTCGATTTCCTTTTGATTAGTGATGGTTTTCGAGTTAGATTGCAGACAGGAATTATCAATTTATCGGAATAATTGATCGATGTGGACGTTATTGTGTCCGATCTGTGCTCTCCGTTTGGTATATAAGAAAATGCGTTGACATTAGGAGGAGAATTTTCGTATCCGTGAGAAACAGAACCGTTTTAGCTAATTATCTGTTTGAATGATTGATGTAAATATCACGAAAACGGCAAACAAAATTATGAGAAAATGTCTGGATGAGAAATCTTTGTCATTGGAGCCTAATTGGAAACAGAGGGAAATTCATCGTATGTTTTACTAAGTTTTATTTTGGAGAAATATCTGGTGATGGAGGGTTGTTCTCATTATTAAATTCTTTTCTTTTCGCTCGAAATGTGTGTGGAAAAGAAACTTTATGCACCGTTCTGATTGTTTTACAATGCCTCTCTCTCTGTAAATCATTGTATGAAAACATATAGCTGCAGCCATTCTTTGGTGTAATGGCCACAACTGTGATTATTCTCAAATTCTATACTTACCAAAAGTTAATTCTTGCTTCGCTCCAGCAACCGGTTGAAAATTACGCGAACCCGAGGACATGTTTCGTCCATGTTCTCTTCAAGGTATGTATGAAGGCTAAGGTTTTGGCTGTTGAAACAGATGTCTTTTGCATTGCTTTGATATTGGGGAATGGTTCTCTGTTTGTTTTATCCTTTGGACAGGGTGCGGCTTTGGCGTTTTACATACTCTCAGCCCTCTTCTTTAATAACTTTGTAATAATATTCGTGGTGACCGTTCTTCTTTCTGCCCTCGACTTTTGGGTGGTTAAGAATGTAAGTGGGCGTATACTAGTTGGGTTGAGGTGGTGGAACGAGATCAATGACTTGGGTGAAAGTGTGTGGAGATTTGAGTCCCTTGATCAGGAGGTTAGTTACTTCTTTGTTGTTTTCGTCTACTCTCTCTAAAGTGTAACAGGTCGATCTGTCTTAACATTATTTTGTTTGCCCCTTATCTCTTCTTGGATACTCATGATTCTTCAGTCCTTAGCTCGGATGAACAAGAAAGACTCGTGGCTTTTCTGGTGGACCCTTTACCTTTCAGTGAGTATTTCTGTCTAATACTTTAGATTTAGCGCTAAGAACAGGAACTGCAAAGACTTAGCATACCTCTACGGGTGGTGGCAAATGTAATATCCCTCATTGCTAATTGTCAAAATCTTATCGACATGTGAACTTTCTTCTCTAACGAGCTTTTGGGGGAGTCATATTCACGGGTTTGTGACAAATGGTTTAGGCTAATTTGATGTAGGATCTTAACAATTAACATTAGGGTCAAAGTCGAGCCATGCAAGTTGATACGGATGTCAATGTTGGAAAAGTTCTGGTGTCATATTGGTTTATATGGCTTACATGTCATGCGGGTAACCTTCCCTTGCAGACTAGCTTGTCTAGCTTAGCCATGGAGATTGTATTAGGTTTCTGACTAGTATGGACTCGGGTTAACATCACAGATCCGTGACTGTATCCATAATTGATTCGTCTTCTTCTATATTACAGGCGGCTTTGTGGTTGATCTTGGGAATATTTTCCCTCATAAGGTTTCAAGCCGACTATCTGCTCGTCGTTGGAGTTTGCTTGTCCCTCAGCGTTGCTAATATCGTCGGCTTCACCAAGTGCAAAAAAGGTTAGTCTTTTCATTCTTGTCCTAACCTTGGAGATCCATATATATATATATAGGATATGAGTAACATAAACAAGTCATTCACAAGCACATAGATTTGGATTTATGTATGTGTGTGTGTATATACACATAGCACACTACACTACACATGTAGAATTATATATCCATACATATAGAATTATTAGTACAAGATGAGAAGACTAAAAGAATCACGTTTCAGACGCGAAGAAGCAGTTTCAGCAGTTTGCGTCTCAGACGATTGCGTCGCGGTTTACCTCCACTGTGCAATCTGCCTTCACGATTGTCTGAAAAGGTGCACAAAACGACACCGCTTTTTGACTGATTTCTTCACAACTTTTTTTTTTTTTTGGTAGCTTTTTATATAATCAGACTGACTCGACTTGTTACATTTTGTTTGTCCTATCACGGACCGGTTTGCTCTGTTGTCATCGGCTTTCTGTGATGAACCGATGCTCTATATTCCATGTAGCCTTGAGAAACAGTCTCATAGATTTTCTATAGGTGTCGGCACGAGTTAGGTACCGACGTATCTGAGTGTCTTGGCCAATATATTTTATTATCTGTATATGTTCAGCTTTATGCAAAAGTAGCCCATAACATATTTATATCCAATATATATATATATATATGATTGTATATATATGTTAAATATCGATTTAGGGTATTTCGATTAGTTGTTGGAAAATAGTCGTGTTGGATAGTTCTTTCGGTGTGCGTGTGTATCGCATGTGCACACGCAACTAAATTGACTTTGATTCTCTATAACGATATGTCAAATTTGTCACATATTATTGAATATGTAGGCTCCATTCGATCGCCAAGTTCTCTAATCTCTTAAATTCCACCAAAGAAAATACTGAAATATGGAATATACGATTGTTTCATGAGGAAATTTTGTTAGAATTTTAGTGCGGAAATCCCTTCATCTAAAACATTGTATATCGTTAAATAGTAATACAAACATTAATCTATAAAAAAGTTGTAATGGACGAATCTATAGACACATATATTTTATTTACCAGAGCTAAAAAAATATAAACTAATTCTAATTAATGTACATGATCTCGTCTAGAATTTGCTCTTTAGATTACAACTGATTTTATATCCCTAATTATATCTAATTTAGAGATCATGGTCACCACGATACTCGTGCGTACGTCCATCGATATGGAACACTGCTTGTGGGATTGTATAAAAGAATAATGCCAAATTTTTTAAAATTTATTGATTAAATGATGACTTTTTAACTGACTAGTTAAAAAGTTGAAAATGCAGTACTAAAAGGGTTAAATGATGAGTTATATATATATATATATATATAAATCTATATGTCCACTCCTGTTTTTTTTGTCGTTTTTCTTAACGGGTGGGTCAGATTGTTTTTTATTGTTTTGTGACTGAATGTCTCTCCATCGTTGGAAGTAAGGCAGACCACAGAACCACCACTAATTGTTGTCGTCATAAAATAATAAAAATAAATAGATAAATAATGTGGATGGTCGTGAAGAAGTCCATGGACGATTATTGAGTGTCAAAACAATGGGGGATTTCGTCGTAATATCCTCGAGTGTGGTCCGGCCAAAGAACAGAAACCAGACTAAAAGAGAAAAGATACATCTAACTCCATGGGATCTCTCACTTCTTAACGCCGATTACGCTCAGAGAGGTCTTCTCTTCCTTAAACCCAACGACTCTGTGCCTGAATCCGACATCGTCTCCTCCCTCAGATCTTCCCTCTCTCTCGCCTTATCCGCTTTCTTCCCTTTCTCCGGCCGTCTCCTCAGGTCGGAGAATCACGACGACAACACCGTTTCGTTTCTCATCGACTGCGACTTTTCCGGCGCCAAGTTCGTTCACGCTGCTGCGAAAACCGTGTCGGTGAGTGACCTTATTCCTAGTACTGGTTTCGTTCCGTCGTTTTTCTTCCCCGCGAATGGAACCAAGAACTGCGACGGTGTCTCGGAACGGTTGCTTGCTGTCCAAGTAACCGAGTTGAAGGATGGTGTGTTCTTAGGTTTTGGGTATAACCACTTGGTCGCCGACGGTACATCGTTTTGGCAGTTCTTCAAGACTTGGTCGGAGATTTGCTCGAAAGGGTCGGACTCCGATCTCGCTATAAATCCTCCGGTTCTTCGTCTCAAAGGATGGTTCCCCGACGGCATCGATTACCCGATTCGGATTCCTCTTTCGGAGACACAAGTTCCCACTTGCGAAGAGGGTTCGGTTTCATCCTTAGAAACTATACAAGAAAAGATATTTCGCTTCACAAAGACGAATATTTCCAATCTCAAAGCAAAAGCCAACGAAGAGATCGGATCCGAGTACCCGAAAATCTCGTCTCTCCAAGCAATTGTGGGGCATATTTGGCATTCAATCATCAAACACGGTGACCTGAACAATGAAGAGCACACACATTGCAGAGTAGCCGTGGACATGAGGAGCAGGTTGAACCCTCCTCTTGAACCAGAGTGTTTTGGGAATGTGGTCTTGATCGGTGTAGCGACGAGCACGGTGGGAGATTTGTTAGTTAATGGGTTCGGTTGGGCTGCTTTGCAAGTCAACAAAATGGTGGGGTCACAAACGGGAGAAAATCTCAGAGCTTTCGCTGAGAGTTGGGTGAAAAATGTTAAGATTCCAAAGTTAGTGGTCGGAAGTAAAAGTTCCAGGAATTCTTTGCTCGTCGCAAGCTCTCCCCGGTTCGATGTGTACGGATACGATTTCGGTTGGGGTAAACCGGTCGCGATTCGATCTGGACCGGGAAATATTTCAAGCGGCAAGCTCGTAATGTATCGCGGGACTGAGGAGGGGAGTATCGATGTTCATGCGTGGCTGTCGTCTGATTTATTGACGAATCTCCTCAATGACGTCGATTTCATGCAGTATGTGTTCTCCGGTTGACTGTTCTATTTATTATCCCTTTTTCGATTTTATATCTATATTATTTTTCATGTTTTAATTCAGTATCGTTTTTATAAATATCTAAATGTTTTTCTTTTCTGGTAATCAATTGAATAAATTGGTGTGTATTTATATTGAAAAAAATATTAATACATGGATAATACATTTAGTATTGAATTGGTATTTTTTTTCTATGACATCATCATTAAAAATTTAAATAAATTAAGACATTCATAAACACAAATTTGAATAAATAATATACAGTAAAACCGCATCCACACATATTATTTATGTATATAATTGCAGAAAATACGATATGGGGTTTGAGCGTCAGCAAGGGAACTCGCGAGTAGACTCAGTTTTTCGAGTTTTGTCGCAGTGGCAAATGGTAAATCTATTGCAGAACTCAAGGGATCCGACCAGAGTCGTGATCAGGCACTGTCTGGTCTGAAAGACGGAGACATGACCAGCAAGAAACTCCTCTCTCCCTCTGTGTTACATTCGGTTCCACAATTCCTCAGAAACTCTCTGCGCAACGCTTGCATCGAAGAAACCCATCATCGCCCAGATTTTTCTTACGGTCCAGATTTTTCTTACGATCCAAAAAAGCCCTCGATTTTAGCTACGAGTCTCATCGGTTCTTACTTCGAGAGAGGTTTGGTCGGTGAAGCACGATCACTGTTCGACGAAATGCCTGAGAGAGACGTAGTTGCGTGGACAGCCATGATTACTGGTTACGCTTCTTGCAACTACAACGCTCGTGCTTGGGAATGTTTCCGCGAGATGATGAGAAAGGAAACTCGCCCGAATGAGTTCACATTGTCCACTGTGCTCAAGGCTTGTAGAAGCATGAAGGTTTTGTCCTATGGTGCTTCGGTTCATGGATTGGTTTTGAAATTTGGGATGGAAGGTTCTCTGTACGTTGACAATGCCTTAATGGATATGTATGCTACCTGTTCTGCAACCATGGACCAGGCCTGTGCAGTTTTTCGCGGTATTCACGTCAAAAACGACGTCATTTGGACTACTCTGATCACTGGGTTTACTCATCGTGGTGAAGCCTACTGCGGTTTGAAGATGTTTAAGCAAATGTTACTGGTAACAGATCGAAACGTCTTTGAATATACCAAAAGAGAATGTTTATCGTGGCAATTCTTGTGAAAGGCTTTGTTTTTCTGGTGTGAGCAGGAGGATGATGTAGCTGTGACACCTTACTGCTTGACGATAGCGGTTAGAGCTTGCACTTCGATTGGTTCTCTTGCAACGGGCAAGCAAATTCATTCGTCAGTGATTAAACATGGGTTTCAGTCTAACCTTCCGGTGATGAATTCTATACTGGACATGTATTGCAGGTGTGGATGTCTATCAGAGACAAATCAGTACTTCCATGACATGGAAGAGAGAAATTTGATCACATGGAACACTCTAATAGCTGCCCACGAGCGTTCAGACAGCATTGAGGCTCTTCTGATCTTTCTGCACCTCGAATTGCTTGGACTTACCCCAAACTGCTATACCTTCACCAGTGTAATTGCCACCTGTGCTAACATTGCAGCATTGAATTGTGGCCAGCAACTTCATGGAAAGATTTACCGAAAAGGGTTTCACCAGAATGTCGCGTTAGCCAACGCTCTGATCGATATGTACGCTAAATGCGGCAACATACCCGGCTCCCACAGGGTTTTCAGTGAAATAACGGAGAGAAACCTTGTTTCTTGGACTTCGATGATGATTGGGTATGGATCACACGGCTATGGAGCTGAAGCCGTTGATCTGTTCGACGAGATGGTTAGCTCAGGCATCAGACCTGACCGGATTGTGTTCATGGCAGTTTTGAGCGCTTGCAGCCACGCCGGTCTGGTAGACGAAGGGTTGAAGTACTTTAAACTGATGAAAAGCAAGTATGGCCTCAACCCAGATCGGGAAATCTACAACTGTGTGGTGGATTTGCTGGGGAGAGCCGGGAGGGTAGACGAGGCATACGAAATCATCGAGAACATGCCCTTCAAACCCGACGAGTCCACATGGGGGGCTCTTCTGGGGGCTTGTAAAGCACATAAACGCACGGACCTGGGCATCTTAGCTGCAAAAAAGGTTCAAGAGCTGAAACCAAGAATGGTGGGGACATATGTGATGCTTTCGTACATATACGCGGCAGAGGGGAAGTGGGGCGAGTTTGCGAGGGTGAGAAAGGTAATGAGGACGATCGGGAACAAGAAAGAAGCTGGGAGGAGTTGGATCGAGGTGAAAAATCGGGTCTTTAGCTTCGTTGTGAGCGATAAAACATGCCCTCGTTTGGATTCGGTGTACTCAGTCTTGGGTTTACTGATTCTTGACATTAGAGAAGCCGGGTATGTTCCTGACTTGCATTGCCTGAAACATGATCAAGAAACTCGAACATGAACATCGACGTGAAGATGATCCATATGCTTCATGATCGAGAGTGCTTTTCACGGTACTTTTAATGTTCAAGCAAGGAGAATACCGATTCTTCAGGGGTTACGGGTTTTCAAGCCATTGCTCGGGCGAATGTATCAGTTCTTTTTCGTGCGGAATGTATCTCATTCATATTATTTTCGCAATAAAAAATAATATTATTCGACTACGGATGTGTTATTTGGATATACAGGAAGGCTTCAGTGGTGGCTCCTTATGTGACGATGGCAAAATGGTAAATGATCATAAAGAACCTGTGAAGTTGTTGTACTCGTGACACGTCAAGATCAGAATTTGGGATCGGAGGACAAAATGGTCTTTTCGGCACTAAAATTTGCGGTTGTGTTTGCGTTAGCGTTTTGTTGTAGACCAAATCGCAATCCAAACAGGGCCTAAGAATCATTTCCAGAAAAACCTTTTCCTCGTTCGAGGGAGAGAAAAAAAACCCAAATCTGATTTTGGTGGGAAAAAAAGGAAAACCCTAAACCTAAAGTCAAATCCTTCGGCTTCAGCTCTTCCCGCCATTTTCTTCTTTGCTTCTCTCTCTCTTGTACCGTTGCTCCGTGGCCGGGATTCTCGGAATTTGTCTCCAACGAAGCAGGGCAAGAAAAAGCCCAAGCTTTTGATGTCTGCGAGATCGGATCGGACAGGGCGGTCTTCTCACCTGAAACGGGGCTCCGCCGTGGAGATAAGCTCCGACGAGCACGGGTTCCGCGGCTCGTGGTATCCGGCGACTGTGGTCCGGCAGTTTTCCGACAAGAACCCAGCGAAGTACCAGGTCGAGTACACCACCCTGTTCTCCGACAAGGAAGGAAAGAAGCGACTGAGGGAGATCGTGGAGTTGGGTCAGATTCGTCCTCCGCCGCCGCGGGAGAAGGAGAGGGATTTCGCGGTGGAGGAAGAAGTGGATGCACATTATAATGATGGGTGGTGGGAAGGTCATGTGACGGAGGTTCTGGGTGATGGAGAATTCAATGTTTTCTTCAGGAGTTCGAGGGAACAGATTCGGTTTCGGAAGGATGATATTAGGTTGCATAGGGAATGGGTCGATGGGGCTTGGATGCCGCCATTAGAGGAGGATGAAGAAGTGGAAGAGGAAGATGATGATGAAGACGAACAAGAAGAGGTACATACAGTATATGTTTTGTTGTTTCTGTTTCCCGTCTCTCTGTATGTGTTGGCCGTTCATAGTTTGCTGTTTCATGTTATTTGGTCTTAGTCTTTGAGAAATCTGGGCTTTACTGGTTTTAAAATGGTGAATTCATGATAGCAAAAGAAATCATTGACAGAACTATTTGCGTAGCTTCGTTCGATTGTCTTGCTTTAGTTCCTCATACATATTTTCTTATTGCCGTTCAAGATTCTGTCCTAATTTCAGTATGTTCTCCCAATCCTGTTTTTGCTTTAAGGTAGCATTCATGTTCAGCTTTTGCTAATCAACCTGCAGAACAATTTGAGCAAAATAGATCCAGATATCGTAAAAGCAATCGTTAAGCAAGAGTTATCCAGAGATACTCTTGTTGAGGTTAGCAGCGAGGAAGAAGGTTTTGAGGGCTCGTGGTTCGTGGCTAGAGTTGTTGAACCCATTGGAGAAGACAAATACCTTGTCGAGTACCTGGATTTGAGAGAAGAAAATGGCGTACAGCTTCTGAAAGAAGAAGCCGATATTCTGCACATACGGCCACCGCCACCACCTTCGAGCGACGGGGATAAAGATTTTGAACTCGGGGACAAGGTTGATGCGTTTTACAATGACGGGTGGTGGGAAGGCATCATCACAGAGATTTTGAAGGATGGGAGATTTGGTGTTTTCTTCAAACATCCAAGAGAGATGATTCGGTTTGGAAGGCAGGGTCTTCGGTTTCATAAAGACTGGATAAATGGGAACTGGCTTTTGCCACCCAAAGGAGGAGAGAAAAAGAAGGCAGAGGTATCGTAAACTTGTAGATCGATTTTTACCTCATTCTTCTATCTATTCTGATCTGTACACCATTGAATACCTAATCTAAGGCTTTATATTGATCTGCAGAAAGTTTCACGTAATGGAAAAGTGAGTGCTGGAAAAGCAACCGGACTGCAAGAGTTCAGGGTTCGATCTGTAATTGAGGTAAGCATCGAGGAAGAAGGGTTTGAAGATTCTTGGTTTCTTGCAAAGATTATTGAAGCCCGAGGGAAGGGCAAATACCTCGTAGAGTATGAGAAAATAAAAGCCGAAGATTGCAAAGAGCCTTTGAGAGAGGAGGTAGATGTTCTGCACATGAGGCATCAACCACCGGAGACACTCATGGTCGAGGGCTTCAAGAAATTTGAGAAAGTGGAAGCTTTTTATAATGATGGATGGTGGGTCGGGGAGATCTCGAAGGTTCTAACGGAATCAAAATATTTGGTTCACTTTAAGAATACTCAAGCGTCACTAAAGTTCGATCATTCTCAACTTAGACTGCATCAGGAATGGGTTAATGGCAGGTGGATAAGACCTTCTAGGGTATGCTTCTAAAAACACTCTTTTCATTTTATATCATATATGACATTGATCTATCTTCAGAATGGAGTACTGCAGAATCTATCCTGGTCATCAATTCGAGATATTCCTTTTACTGTCGAGTTTTACTGATGGGTTACAGCTTTTTTTAATCTATTGTCAGTAGCAGAAGCTGTGATTCACTGGAGAGCAAGTGAATATTTGGATCTCAGCCTTGCAGTTTTGGTTCGTGTTTGCTATTGTGGGGAAATTGAGGATACGACGGTTTTCCTTGGCCGAGAACATTTTGCGCTCAGATTTCATCACTTCTGGCAGCGAAAGCCATTTCCAACTGAGATACTACTACCAATTTTTCTCACGTCTTACCTCCAGCAATACACTAAAGGCGTATGTTTCGGTAAATAGCCTCTTAACAATGCAGCTGCTCCTCTTTGTTTTGTCAGCTCTGTGTAGTCGTACTTACTGCATCACACTGCAACTAGCAAATAGGTTTGTGGAAATATTCAATCAGCTCACTATTGCAATCTGCATATAACCTTTTGTATGTTTTCTTACACCCATATATCCATCCTCAGCATTGCTTTTGGTCGTTTATGCATTGATCTGATTCTGCAGTGTCTCTAAACTGGTAAAGAACAAATCCATGCCATTGACTCGGTCAGTCCCCATTGTTAAACTTATGAAGTTAAATGCGAAAAAGATGTGGCCTCTTGCTTTAAAAAATTGATCATGCTAGGTTGCAGGAATCTCAAAGCAATCGAGGGCACCCATTTGCCCAGATTTTGATTTGTTTCTGCTGAATTCTTTAGTTGAGTGAATCATTCCCAAAGATCTGGATGTTAAAATCCAAGACAGGACTTGCAGGGTTTCTCTTGACACAACACAGAGTTGAGTGAATCATTCCCAAAGATCTGGATAATCTCATTGAGCGTGTTTGAAACAGAAGGAAGGGTTTCAACATCTTATTACAAGCAAAAATCAAACAGCAATAGTAGCAACATATGTAGAGGATATAGCAGCACCATTCTTGTAGCAGTGAGATAATATCTCCCACTTATCAGACCTCCTTCACTTCAACAGCCTTACTGGCCTCACTTGCAGAAACCGGTTTCTCCTCCTCGGCCACTTTCTCGTCCTTCTTCTCTTCCTCGGGGACATTCTCCTTCTCGGGAACCTCAAAGGCCGAGTAAGGGAACGTCCTCGATAACCCGGCAGGCGTCTTGAACGTGATCTTCTTGATCTCCTCAGCAACAATCTCATTGAGCGTGACCCACACAAGAAGCTCCTTGGCCTTGACGCCAGTCAGCTTCTTGATCTTGCCGGTCTCTGCCACTGCAGTGACCACTGTTTCGTAGGACACAAGCTTCCCTATCTCCTCGAACTTGTGGACGATGCTCTGCTTTTGCTTCAGCCACACGGTACCTGACTCTCTGTCATAGCCAACCTCTTCTATGTCCTTCAATGGCAGCAACCCATTAGGCAAAGCCTTTTCTTTCAGGAACTCCTTCGTCTTCTCCTGGCATATGGCGTCTCCCTGGTAAATCTCGGCTTTAGCCCTCACTTCTTCGGTGATCGAAGCCATTATCAATGCTTTTTCTCTTCTGGGTTTTGCTTTTGATGAGAAAAGATTTAAGTTTCTGATACTTCTTGTGGAGAAGAGACATTCACGTATATAGGTGGTGGGGTATGAGTTTGCCCCTGGTTTCTTCATGCTATTACGGAAACGCCACTGGGCAATGAGATTGAGAGTCAATATTGTCTTCTTCTTTTTTTTTAACCTCCTTCCCTCTCTTTTGACAATCTCTTTAATTGGTGTGTAAAATTATGATTAACGATCGTGTAATTAAAATTTAACCATTTTCATCATTAGCTATCGTTTTTTTTTTCCCTAATCAGAGGTACATAATTGTGAAACATAAATTTATCGAGAAGCTATAATATTTTTTTTTGGCATAAACCAAATGAATCAGCTATGTATTGTATTGGTATTTTTATTTTAAATAATCTGAATGGCATTGGTGTCACTTTGTACTACTTTTGGCAATACGTGAAACATTAGAGATAGAGATCGTAGTTATTTAAATTAACCGTATTTATTTATTAATGCATGGAGTTATCGTATGGTTGAGACCAAACATACAAAAAAAAAGATTACCCAATAGAAATACCAAGTTTAATTGCATTTGTCATCATCTTGTCTCTTACCTCTGTATAATAAATGATTAGTTATGATGATGAATAAGGTTTTCACATTTCACTAATATTAATTACATTTCCAAATGGTATTATAAATAATTACAGATTTATACGTGTTTTTAACATATGATCTTTTTACCAATACAGTTTAAAAAAATTCTTAACTTAAGAATAAATAAACATAGTTTTATATATAGTCGGCGGCAAATGGCCCATATATACATATATATATATATATCTGTGTATATACATATATGGTTCGATGAAATGTTGGCATAAATCAAATGTAATAAATTTGAGGGACAAAAACTGTAATGAAAAAAAAAACATTAATTGCATAGTTAGTTGAATTAAAGGGGATAGGTCCCCAATCACGTATCATTTTTGGTTGGGAATACACATACCCTATTAAATGATACAATAACATGATATTGATACAAGAGATTTTTTTTCCCCTTCTATTTAACCAATTTTATGTTGTTATTTGATACTTCATATTACTACCATCGATCGTTTCTTCAGTTTCTATTTTTGTTTTCAATATTTTTATAATCATGCACTCATCATTCAAATATAAATCGTATAAATAATCAAATATAAAATAAGAGAATACAAAAACTTCATAGACAATAATATAAAACTTAAAATGTAAAAACAAGTTTTCATTCATAGACTATAAATATTTAATTATTAGAAATTGAGAGAAAATCTTAATAATTATATGTTAAAAATATTCGGGTATCATTCATGATGAATTAAAAAACACAAGTTGAATAGTCACTTATGTATTATATAACCCATCACAGCCAAAGATATGGTCAGTAAACAAAAAGAAACAAAAAAAAAATTATTAAAAAATAAATAAAAAAGGCAAAGATATCATCACCATTTTTATGATGATCGTCATCGTTATGATCAGAGAGGATCTTGAAAATTTATTATCCACCAATAATATTATAAAAACATTGAATTGATGTATTGGGGGTAAAAGCAAACTTAATATTAAATTTTTTATAATTTAATTTAAATAATTAAAATTAATTTTAATAGTATGAAACATGTGACTTAGATTTCGTTTATCATCATTATGACATCATTACAATAATATCATAATAATAATAATAATATGATGATGATGATGATGATTTTTTATATTTTTTTGATGAATGGCAAGTGTTTTTGGTCTGGCTGACATTTAATATTAAATACGCATGTCTTGGGGAATTTATGTATCTCACCCTCCAAATTCATCCGTTAACTATGCAAATAAATACATTGCATCATATGCATTGTGTAATATGCATGATATAATTATATTAGATTAAAAAAAATCTGGTTCCAATATTATTTTATTTTATTTTGATTTATGTATCCAACTAAAATTAAATATTTATAAGATTGCCTAACATTTAAAATAATTAATTCATTTTATCTTGAGAATATTTTTTTTTTGTAATAATATCGATGCATCATATTAAATATAATACCGAAAAAATTGAAAATCGGAATGGTAACCAATTAAAAAATGAGAAACATGATATGGACCTTAATTTAGTTACAAAATAAATCGTAATCAATTCATCAGTTTGCTCCCAACCACTTAACAATGACTACACTCTCTCATTCATGTTTCCAATTTATATATTTTCGCGTATCGACCGACATTTATCTTCCACCAAACGTTTTTTAGGAATAATATTAAAGCAAATGGATTCAATTATCTGGAAATTACTAATTTTTTAAAGAAAAAAAAAACACAGAGTATAGCCAATGATCATATGATTTTAGCTTCTGAATAGGGACGTAGAAATTTGTAACATATAAAAATATATCTTATAATAACACTTGATTTGCATAAGTACTCCCTATTATAGTGTGCATGATTATGTCGTTAAAAAAAATACTTCTTAATTCCTATTATATATAATTTTTTTTAGAAATATTCGAACCTAGGTCGATCCAATTTTTTTGGACCAATATAATTAACTTCGAAGTACGGTTCTATAGATTTCGATTTGAATCTTCGATTTGAATTGGGTCGGACCGAATCGGACCGGCCCCTATAATTTCTTTTCTAAATGTATTTTTTATTAAGAATTTTTTTAAAAAAATTATCGAACTTCCGGATCGAACCCAAATCTAATTTGAAGTCTAATTTGAACTCATCGCGAAAGCTTAATTTTTTTCGAATAAAAAAATGTAAACTCGAAACCTGGTATTTTTCGGATTGTTCTGCTTAATTTTCATAACATACGCTTTGTAATAAAGAGTTTTTAATGTAATTTTTTTTAATAATACATGCTTCGTAATAAAAGAGTTTCAAATGTAAATTTTAATTTTAGTAATTAATAAATTTTAGTGTCTTTTTGTGTCTCAGATTATAAATAATTATTTCTAACTCTCCCTTGTGTTTCTTCTTCGCCGGAGCTGCTTCGTTTTGCGTTGTCGGGAGAGGATCAGTTCAGGTCTGTGTTTGTGATTTAACTTCTGCAAAGTGTTCGGATTCTTTGTTCCTTTCAGTTTCTGTCTCGTTTCTTGGAGTTTCTGTTTCCGTTTGATCTGAGATTTTCTCTCTCACACACACACTGCTTCGTCGCTGGTTTGATTCTTGGGTCCTTCAATGGAAATGATCTGGTGAATATAGTTCCTATTTTGGGCATTGGCATTTGGTGTTGCGTTTGACAGGCGAGAAATCCAGAGAGAGAGTTCTCTGGTTAGGGTTTCTTTTCTCTGGTCCCTGTAATTAATGTCGTAAATCTTGATCTTTGGTTCAAATCATATGCAGAAATTGGCGCAACGTGCTAATACTCTCATAGTATAGCAAAGGGTTTGTGCTCATTCAAAAGATTCATGTGTTCATTGTCAAGGTTCTCATTCTTGAAATGGAGTAATGTTTTTGTTGTTCATTCAGAATCTTAGGTTCCGAATTCACTTCAGTTGTCTATTGCCAATCTGGTTAACCCTTATTGCCTGACTAAGAATCTGTTTGAGGATAAAATAGTTTTTCCTTGTTTACTCGTTTCCTCTTGCGAGATGGTTTAGCTAGGAGACCTTATTTGCACCCTTCATAATGGCGGAATCTCGATCTTTTGTGCGAATCAGCTTCAGGGATTGTGGCTACTTCTTCGTATTTTTATAGCATAAGCAATGTGTGTGTGTTCATTCACAAGAATTGGTTTGCGGATGAAGAATTTACTTTTCCTGTCATTTGCTTTGCAGTAACTAATGGTATGGTCTCAGATTTTCCATGGAAAACATCTGTAGAATTTCAATGACAATTAATCTTCAATAGAATTTCAATGGCTTTTTGTTCATTTCACAAGACTCAGATTCATGGGGGGCTTGTGGTTGTTCTCAAGATTCTCATTCTATAAGAGGAGAAAACTTCTTCATTCCGGATCTTTAGGCTCCGAGTTGTTTTAGCTCTTGTTGTCAATTTGGTTCAGACCTTCATTGCCTTTCTAAGAATTTTATTTGGGTAATGTTCACAAGATTCTCTTGCTCGTGCGTTTGATCACCCAAAATCCTCTAATCCACTGTAGCCATTGTTCTGATCCCATGTGCTTTTGTGCATTCACAAGATTGTCTTTCATGGGCTTGTGTTCTTGTCATCGTCCTTTTCCTGATTAAGTACTTGTTTTCGGGTAAAGTATGTTCATTTCACTTGTTTACACGGCTGTCTAATGCAGAGAATCATGGGCTTCTGGACATTGATCGAGGGTCTTCTGCTATTCACGAACGCAATGGCAATCCTCAACGAAGAACGTTTTCTCGCTCCCAAGGGATGGACATTGGTGGATCTTCAGACCGGTGGACGGAAATCTCTCAAAGGACGAACCATCGGCCTCATCCACGCTTGCCACTACTTGCGATTTCCCCTCATGCTCTTGAACGTCTTAGTCATCGTCCTCAAGCTATTCTCCGGGTGAGAAAGAGCATTTCTGAATTCTGATCCATCCCATGTTAGTTCATTTCATTCATTAGTTATAGTTCCTTTTGCCCGAATCTACAACATACCGTTTCTCCTGAGGGTGAACCGTGAACATGCAATTGCTATATCATACATTTTTCGTATCTTTGCGCTATTGACATTAGATTAAGAACATGTAATGCAATGCAACTTGAAAGGAAGTTTTATACTTGGAGGGCAAAAATGTTTCGATCAGGGTTCAGTTCTGCAGAATTTATGAACCCTAATCCCTGATCTCTGCAACAGATTGAGAATCTCATTGAAGATCTAGATTCTAAACTAAAACAGAACTTAAGGCTTCAGATCAAACTGGTGAGTCAGTTTCAGCTAGGAAATGGGAACTCTAGATCTTTTGGCCAGAGTTCTTGGATGATTTCGGTCTGAACAAAGGTTTATTACAACTTCAAACCATACATACAATTCACGTAAATACCTCGAATCAAAGATTCAAAGATGAAATAGTTTTCACCTCTGCCTATACCCTCACGGCGTCAATGTCACTGTAAGCTTCTCTCGATGAACTTGAAAAAGTCCGAACCTTTCGTTTAAGAGATGGGTGATTATATGGCTCAGATTGTTTAAAATTGTTTTTTTTTTCTTGAAAAAGTCCCAATTTCATGGTTCCTTGTATCGACGATATCAAAACAGAATCTGTGTTTTATTCGCCAAATCGAAAATGGTAAGATTATAATCACAACAAACAAAAGTAGTGTGATACAAACCATGTGACTGTATACATGATTGATCTCGAGACATAACAAGGGCCAAAGAGACAATGAGAGGAGAGAAATTCAGAGATTGGGGGCTGATTCGGACATGGAGACCAAAAAAGAGAGAGCCTTTCTGTCAGGAATTCAAAAACACTGACTTTTAACCTGGCAAATGCTAACACAAGATGTGATTGTAGATAACAGTTGCAAGGGTCGGAACTCGAGATTTATCGGGCCAAATGGTTTCGGTTTTTGTATATTGTTATACCTTTTTAGCCGAAGTTGAATCCGCCGGAGGGGGCGCCGGGTTGATCGGTCCCAAAGTTGAAACCTTGCTGGCCGTTTTGGTTCATACCGTCCTGGAGATTCTGTTCTTCCTCCTCTTCGGCCCAATATCTCTCCAGGATCTTAACGGCCTTCTCGTAAATCTCGTTGTTATCGTGGGTTTGAAGGTTCTCGATCTTGTCCAACCCATCGGATTCTTCGACCACTTGGGCATAGAGATTCACCCCTCCGTTCAATCCCATCTCCTTGTCAGCCTCACCAACCTTGAGGATGTTCTCGAGGCCCTCGAGGCAAACCGTCACGATTCTCGGGTCAGGACAGATTAGAAGATCACAAAGTGGTTTGATGCAGTCTTGTGTCACAAGAAATCTGTTGAACACAGAAGTGAAACCATTTCAAGAACACAAATCTGACAGAAGAAGACATAAACTGAGAATGAAAGGTGAGATGATATACTTAATCTGGTCGTGAGATCCTCCTGAGGTGGCATTGGAGATTGCCCAGGCTGCTTCCTTCTTGATGTCAAACTCCGCGTGTTGGAGCAAATGCACGAGAGGAAGGATGATGCAGGCATCAATCACAGCCTGTTGTTTCAATGTAAAGCGTTTGAAGTATTATGCCTCTAACGTCGAAAACTCTATTTCAACCAAATTCAGAGGTGACAGGTTTTATTATGCAACAATACTAATCACAGCAGATGATTATTCTATAAACCTGGCTGCCCATCTTAATCTAGATTAGGGTTATAACCGGAGATGTTAAGACAGATAATCAGTTGCAAAAAAAGGTGGAAGTATTTCATTTGACAAGCTTCAAAAGCATCTTGATAGAAAGCAGAAACCATCTCGTACCTGTATCTGAGCTCTATTCCCGGCAGTAATATTTGAAATAGTCCAACAAGCTTCTTTCTTGATGCTTTTCTTGTGATTTTGAGTAAGCAAATTGTAGAGATGCGGAAGGACTCTATTGTCAATTACAAACTGCAAAGCAATCAGTCAAATGTTGTCAGAATCTTGAAATAAAACAGTATTTTGAATCAATTTTTATACCTGTGTCTGAGCATCGTCACCGGTGACGATGTTACCCACAGTTCGAAGGGCGGGAATGAGAACTGTCGGTGATGGATGACTTGTCAAGAAATGTTTCAGTCAGTACACAATATAAAAACAATAAAGACAGAAAAACAATGATGTGGAGCAATGAATACTATAACCGTCCTTTAAAAAAGGTAGCTAGAAATCCTTGCAACTCACAAGACTTATAGTTTTAACCATAACCAAGGATTACACCAACTAAATTATTGGCAAAGAGATAAGAAACCAACCTCAGGAGCTCCACAAGCCGTGGACAGACCCCCGCTTCAATCACAGCCTGAATCTTATCATTGGGTCCGTCTGAAAGGTAGGAGAGAGCCCAGCAAGCATCTGTGAGAACTTCTTCATCGTTTAAATAGATAAGTTGCCGAAGAATCGGCAATGCAGGCTTCACCTGGAGCATGCAATAATACAACCACTAAGCTATGCATAATGATTCAGAAACTTTAACTCAAAAGCCAAAGCAACAACAAGCTATCTGAGACAAAATCAAAATAAAATAAACGTAGAATTTTTCTTCGGTGCTACCTCATCAAATGGTGTAGGAGGTTTCCCACGGCAAAAATTGGACAAGGTCCATGTCGCATTCCTGAGCATGCTTAACTTTGAATTTTCATTTAATTGAGCCAACAATGGCATGAGAGCACCATAACTGAGGACGAGATTCCTGCAGGTTGGAGAGTCTCCGGCAACATTACCTAGAGCCCACACTGCCTAAAACAGATATTATAACAAGGTTTCATCAAAATGTTAACGGTAAACAACTGAGGAAGTACTTGTCTGACATCATAACTTCAGATCAAGAGCAATTTTTTAGGTTCACATTTCACAAGAAATAAAGCGAAATCCATTGTCACTAAGACATTTAGGACTAACAAGACAGAAGGTAAATGCCAGTGCAGGCAGACTTAATTAGTAACAAACCTGTTCTCTAACATCATCACTGGCAGAGCTAAGAAGCTGGACAAAAATAGGCACTGCCCCATGATCAATCACAACACGTGTATGATCTGACGTCCCTGATGCAACGTTGGTCAAAGCCCATGCAGCTTCGAACTATATTCAACACTTGAAGGGTTAGTCCTCCCATGTGAAAATGTTTAATACTTAAGATGCAACCCCAGTACGGATACGAAATCAAAAGACATGGAATTATCAGTCGCACCTGCAGTTGTGGATGATCATGTCTTCCGAGAAACTCCACAAAACGGGGGACAACACCAGCTTTGATGACTTCATCAATCGGAGGACTACGCTCTACATGTTACATTATATTACAAGACAAAGTTCAATCGTCTATTACAGAGGTATAACCTTGAAACAAATATATCCCTACCGATAGACAACAGCTTCCTAAACTGTGTAGTGGCCTCTAATTGCACTTGAGGATCATCAGACAGAACACCTTGAACCATCATTGGGATACCTTCTAACTGTTAAAAGGACATGAACAAACATCAAACAGCTGTTTCAACAAAAGAAAATTGCTCTCTTCTTTGGTAACTTGCAACAGTGTCCTTATAGTGCATTACGAAACTCACTGGATCAGTCAGTAGAAACAACAGTTTCAAAAGAAACCGAATTGTTATCATCTTACATGCTCCGATTAGCTAATCAACCAAAGGATCCACGAATTTTGCTGAAAATCGAAAGAATCCGGATTCAAACACAAGACCTAGAACTCAAATCAGACAACGAAATCAAAATCTAACTTCTTCAGAGACTAGACACAGATCGATCACTAACCAATCCATAAAATCGCCAAAATCGGAGCATGATTTTACCCGTTTCTCGGCTGCGGCAGCGTTCTGGGACGCATCGAGGCCCGGACCGAGAGGCGCTTGCTGGGGCAGCTGCATCATGCCTTCGCGACGCTTCTTGAGGAGGCTGTCTTCTCGCTTGTTCTTCCTGATCTCGACGAGGTTGTCCTCCCTCCTCCGCCGCGCCTCGTCCGCATCGACCCCTGTCTTGTAGATCTTCTTCCTCAGCTCCGCGCGCGTACTCGGCCTTAGCGACATCCTCTCTCTCTCTCTCTCAGCAACCACTTCGTCTGGATCTTCTCTCTCTCTCAGAATCGACTGAAAATGGCGAGAATGTGATCGTAGCGAGTCGTCCTGGGTTGTCGGGTCGGATCTGGTCCGGCCGGGTCGGCTCCGTAGTTGGAAACCGTTGGATCCTTCTTTTCTTTCCTCGTTATAAAAAAAAAAGGTTTCACCGCACGTGTCAACGTTAGATCTGACGTCATCATTTTGTTTATTTGAGACATTCGTAAACCGAACTTTGTCTCAAACCGGTTTATTGATTCGGTTCGGTTAGAGATGGACAAACTGAACCGATTTCAACGTCGAATAATGTCAATGAGCTTGAATGTATGTAACAGGTAAGTTGAGTTAATGATTTTAACTCAATTAGTTTTTCCCATTCAGTACTTGACAACATTGAATTCTTTTAGTTTAACCAATTCAAATTTTATCACATTATATATTTAAATTTTCACTATCTTAATTTCATAAATTCATCTCTTTCCTTTTTCTAAAATTTATAAATTATTATATTTTCTTAATTCGATTAAAAAAAGATTGATTTGAAAATTTTTTATACTAACACTGAACACAAATTAGGGAAAAAAAACGGAGAGTCTACAAGTTTGAAACCCTAAAATAACAACACCTTTTCCTTTTCAATGTTTGCCGCGAAAATCAGCATGAACTTGTCAAGAAGAAAGAAAACACCAAAACAGCATCCAGATCCGTCTCTTTAAACTCAAACAAATCTTGTTTCTTGATACTCACGCTACATATGATCAAGACTCTCGAGAATTTCAACGGCGGATCGTTTCGCCATCTTCTCCGGCTTCTCATCTCTGATCTGGAACCCGCTTCTCTTCCGTGACGTCGTCGCCAGCCCTATCTCAGCATCATAAGCCCTTCTTCTCGCAGGATCCGACAACACGTCCCAAGCGGAGCGAACCATCTGGAGCGCTGTCTCGGCCGCGACAGAAGGGTTCCTCCTCGGGTCGAGCCACCAGGAAACCTTCCGGTACCGTCTGGTCAAGGTCTCTTGGTCACAGAAGGGGTCGGACACGATCAGTGTCTCGTAATGGGTTCGGTCTTCCGACACGGAGGAGTGAACTGAGTACGCCACGTGGTATCTGGAGAACATCACGTGACCGGAAGACGAGTTCGGGAGGGAGATTAGGTACTCGATCAACTCCATTGCCCCCCTGAAATCTCCTTGCTCGAAGCGATCTTCTGCAGAGTTTACAATACTCATCGATATCTCTGAGGAATCCATCTTTTTTTTCTTTGGGGTGATCGTCGATCGATGATGATGAGAGGTTAGACAAGTTTTATAGACAAAAGTGATTCAGTTTCCAAGTAGGATTAGCAGGATTTTGGTCTCTACAAAAATTCTGTTAAAAAAAATCATGATAAAATAATTTTAAAAAAGGGGAATTTTTCCTTTTTTTTAAACGCTGAATAATGGCGGAATTGAAAAAAAAAAACTAGAGAAAAGGAAATAAATAAATAAAGGCGTCATCGTATAAATGGAATTAGCATGAAATTATTTGTAGTTATCGCTTTTTAATGGTACGAATTATAGCGATTTGCTCTCGGAGAATTTTATTGCTTTCAGGTTGCTTTGCTTATTTTTAATAATAATAAATAAATAAATCTTTCTGCTGATTGTGTGTGAATAGGAATTTGGTCTCTACAATAGTTCTGTTTAAAAAATTCGCCATAAATTAAGGAAAAAGGGAAAATTTCCATTTTGTTTAACCGATGAAGAATGATAGAATTAAAATAGAAACGAAAGAAAAGGAAAAAATAAATATAAATGGAATCAGTGTGAAATTATTTGTAGTTATCGATTTTTTTTAGTTAACAAAAAAAAAGATGCGATTTACTCTGGAGAATTTTATTGCTTTTAGTTTAAAATGAAAAATAAAAATAAAAAAAAACAGAAGGAAAAAAAGGACCACGGGAAAAAAATGGGACCGAAATTCTTGAGAAGCTGGATTCATATATTTAGGCCTTAGTTTCTTCATTCTCTACGGCCCGTTAACGTATTGGGCTTTGTCCTCATGATTTATGGCCCATTAATGTTGGGAATATTTTGGTACTTTACAATTTATTTCCTTAAAAACTTTTTTTTCCTATAAAAGGGATAAAAGCTTCTATTAGATTCAAGAGACTCTCTATGATTTACAAAAAGAAAAGTTTTTTTTGTTTGGTAATGAAACAAAAAGAAAAGTTGTTTTTTTACAGAAAAATTGAAAAATGCGATTCAAAATTATTATATGACTGTAATCATAAATTTAAGTTGCCACACATTTATTTTTTCCATGTGTATAAATACGTATATCTATTACCTGAAAATTCAGTCTCCTTCCAACAAAAAATATATATAAATTTCAAATTTTATCTAACAAAAAAATGTAATATTATACTTGAAAACAATTAATTTAAAATTAAATGAGTGAGCCCACGTGCGGTCATGTTCAAAGCACGGGAATATTACAGAGACAACGAAATCTGACGATGACATTTCGAGTGCACGTTATTTTGCCACGTGTTGCATCACATATGGCACACAAAGTAACTACACAGCTCTCTCTCATACATCAGTATGTATCTACGTGTGTGTATTACTATATACATATACATGTATACGCATTACGCATAACATATATTTTGTACGTGTATAGAGATATTCATCAGCACATATGTGTATACATAGATGTATTATGTATATACATATACATTATGCATATACACACACACACCATGTTTCGTATGTTTTTTTTGTTAAAGTTTTAATTTTTTTTTTGTTAAAGAATGTTTCGTATGTTTATTGTAGATGTGTGTGTGTGTGTATACATGTGCGTGTAGATATAGATAAGCACACACATATATATATATGTATATGTGTATATATATGCAGAACATATGTTTTATAGGTCTGTAGATATATAGATAAGCGCATATGTGTATGTTTTGTACTCAACCTCCATGAGAAGCCAATTTTGTCCATAATGATATGTTTGGTTCTCTTCTTTGGACCTATTACACAACTTGGAAAGTATCCGGTTATAACCGGTTTAGCTTGCTAATCTGGTTAACCGACCTGTTAGATTTCCAAAACCCTGTAGTATTTTTAATAAATTAAAAACACACTAGGTTTATATTTTGGTAACTAAATAAAAATTAATTATTTAAAATGGTATTAACTTGTATTTTTTTTGCCTACATAAATTATAGAGTGTTTGTTTTGCATGTCTAATGAAACGTTAGAGTTGTGTTTTGGTACACAATCAAAATATAAGAATATTCTAAATAATATATAAATCAATGTTTAAATAAAATATAAATCTCGCTACCATAACCGAATTCATTAATTCTTTAACAAACATACAAAATAAGAGTCAAAATATTTGAACAACAATGAGATAAGTATATAATTTCCTTTTAACTTTTTTTTTTAACACAATCTAGACTAAATATTAAAATCATCTTACTTTTTTACTGGCTAAAAAGGTGAAGAATGTTGATGGAGCCAATGAAGAAGACAAATTCTATAGAGAATAGAAACAATATACAATTTTTTTTTTAAATTTTTTTTTTTGTTGTTGGAGGTTTTGTGATAGGAGAAGACAAAGGGACAAAGTGGACATTCTCCACAGCCAGATTGGGTTATAATTGGAGGTCACATGGATTGAATGTGGTCACATTTGGTCGTACACCTTTAGACACATATAAAGCCAACACACTACATGTTTTCTTCTCTCTCTCTCACTTGCTTTGTCTTTGTGCCACCATTGCTTTGCTCTGTTTTCTGTCTGTCTGATTGCTAGCTACTTTTCATCTTTATTATGGTTAGTTTTATCATAATCATTTTACTTTGTTTGTTGATTATATCTTCTACTATATATAAAGATATATTCCTCAATTATTTTCTTTACATTTTCACTATTTCTTTCACTATGTTTTTCAATATTTTTCAAGAGAGAAAAAATTCAGACTTCGCAATTTGATATGTATTTAAATAAAAAAAAAAATTCAATCACCCAAATTTAAATAATTCAACCGGTAAAACAAGAGCATTTAGCGTATATCTCGTTATGAATTCGAATCTTAAATTTGGAAAGTGATATTATTCACATGGGTTTTTTCGATTTCTAAGTAAATAATAGATTTCGTTTCAAAATATCAAATTAAGAAAAAAAAATTGAATAATAAAAAATTATCCAACAAATTTGACTCTTATTTCAAACGAACACCAACATGGTTAAAGTTTAGAAATGAAATATTTAGATTAAATTGATAAAATAAGAAAAAAAAATATTGGTTGATTGAATTTCACATTATGTGGGAGCAATTTATGAATTTATTATGATGCAAAATAGCCAATGAGAGAGTTATACGCGTAGATTATAAGATATATATAGGAGAAATGTTTTGTATTAAAAATAGAGGTGAACACGGATCATATAATTATATTTCAAATTAAATACTTAATTTTTAAATCGAATCATAACGAATATCTAAAAATCTGATAAATTTTAGATATTTTTGACGATCCTGATAAAAAGGAGAAGGACTCGTGGTGAATCTTTTGAATGGAAAATAAAGATAGTTCCTAAAAACCTAGGTGGGATAGTGTAGTGGTTGGCTGGTACAAAGTGTTTTTAATTCGGATTCAAATTTTATTGGATAAAATCTTGTATTAAAAAAAAATAGTTCCTAAGAGTCGTCTTTCTCTCTATTTTTTTTTCCTAATTAATAGGAATTTGTGGTCCTTCCTTGCTTTTTTTTTTTCTCTCTCTCAATATTTCACATTCTTTAATTTGAATCACATATTATCCATTTTCCATTTACAAATTAAAATTAAATAATTATACTCGTCATATTTCTTATTACGCACTACATATGTCCTAATAAATTACATATTAACGTTTACTTGATTTTGTTGAACAAATCTATCGACCGAACATTCCAAAACTTTGTTCGAAAATCCTTATTAATTCATTAATCATTAAAAAAATGCATTTTAATAATAAGTATTTAATGTATATTGTGAATAAGTTTTTTTTTTTAAAAAAAAAAGTGATTTTGGGGGTATTTGGAATTATGACAACACTCTTTTTTTGGACAAACACAGTGGAAACTTCAAGCTGTTTCACGTGGACTCCATTAGATGAGTGGGTCGGTTTCCTCCAGACGTAGGCCCATCCACCCACATGTCCTCTTCCAACTCTTAATAACTTAGCCGAAACCCTACTTTTATTTATTTATTTATTATATTTTGTTTAATCCCATTTTTTTTATATTCAATATGATGAACAATTCAAACGAATTATAAATTTTTAAAAAATAAACAAAATGTATACCTACAAGATTACGTGTTTGACATACATAATTAAATATAGTATCTAATTCATTTAGTTATATCTTTACCCATTTCAATACTTATACTTGTTGAATCTTTACGAAAATTTAAAAATAAACGCATAAAGTTATACATTCAAACCATAATTTTATACAAGATGCTATTTAGTTTTGATTCATTAGGATTAACGCATGTACTGTGAATTATATTATTTTTTTTCCATTTATTTTCCGTACATTATTTATTAATGAATACATAAATTATTTTATCATATTTTTTGATTTTATTCTTTTCTATAACCATGTGCATACGCCGACGACTCTCTTGGATGATTACACAAATCATCTCCTTTTTTGAATGAATAAAAAATAAACTTTGTTTAAGGCTAAAAAAAAATAAAATCAATATATAATAATTCCATTAGATAATTATATAAAAAATAAAATATTTGTAACATAGGTTAATGATGCATAATCAAAATCATTTAAATAATTTTAATAGCAATACGATCGTTTTAAGAGTTCATACAAATTTTATGTAATTCCTACATCTTTAGTTGGTCTTAAATCAACCATGCATCTATGATTGATTACAACTAATCGGGGTTTAAGGTTTTTTTTTGTTACAATATATATTTATATAATTAGTCCTTTCCAATTGTAATTGAGAAACTTTTATTCATTCATTTGCTTTTATGTTAAACAAATTAGTTGGACTCACCTTTTTTTTTTGTTGTATTAATTTGATTCCATAAAGAAAATAAATGATTGAAGAGAAACAAACAATTAAAGAAAACCAAAAGGAAGATACAAAATAAAAGAGTCATGTATACAAATAAAGTACACAAATTAAATAAATAAAAATCTGCTCGACAAAGACTTGAGAGAGAGGCAAAAAGGGGGAAAAAAACTACTTGACACCTGGCACAACTAACCACCATCAAGCCCCGGTGGACGACGGCGGCGGAGGCGCCGTGGATAAGAGTTCGGCGAGAGCTGCCATGGCTCGGACCTGCATCTCTAGAGCGGCGATGTAATCGGTTGCTTCTTCTAGAAGGTTTGGTACGGAAACTTTCCGGCAACCGGGAACCAACCGGCCGAGGAACTTTAGTTTCCTCTCCACCGCCGGTAGTTTCATCCTCGTTGGCATCTCCGTTGCCTTCTCCGGCAACCGCCTCGATCGGAGGTTTCCGGTCAACTTCGCCTTCTTATGCTTCCTCAGCCTTGCTCGGACTCGACTCGCCAGGAGCGCTCTGCTCCACCGAGTCGTGCCCCGAGCCGACGCGGCGAGAACTCGGTCCGCCGTATCTCGGATCTCTCTGACTGGGATTTTCCCAGCATCGTTAGATCTCCGGCGAACTCGGCGGAGAGCTTCGACGAGCTTCGATGAGTAGATCTGTTGTTCCCGATCTGTTCTCCATCTCTTTGCGCCATGTCTCCCTTGGTCCTCGCCGATTGTCTGCCGTGTCTCCGTCTCCACCTCCCTTTTCCTCCTCTTCCGGCGATATTCTGGCGACGTACCGCTGCCGGTCGATTCGACCGTGGGAATCACAGGATCCATCACAAATCTAATCAGAAATCCCTTCGTTTCTTGTCACTATTCACAACAACAAAGAAATTCAAAATCGATCCCGAAAGTTTTCGAATCTTGATATCAGAAACGGAATCGCAGAGAGAGAGAGAGAGAGAGAGAGAGATTTTTCTCTGTATTGCGTATAGTGTGGTGATATTGTAACGGAGGAGAAATGGCGCAGCTTATATAGTTATATATATCTACGCAAAATCTCCCCGCAGAGGACCTCGGCCGACGACATGTCACGCATTTAATGCCGCTTTTGCCCCTATTTACATTTTTTTTTTGTGTTTTTTATTTTTTTTTTCTTATTTTATTATGTCCTACAACTTATTTGTTTGTCATTAAGCTCCCAAATTGTGCTCTTAACGTGTCCTCATTTATTATTAAGATTGGTCTTACACAGTATCACCGTTAAAACAATAGAAAGCATGATAATTGAGTCAAAACTTGGATAATTCCCATAAATAAATAAAATCTTCTTGCTAAATCTTAATATTATTTATAGAATGAATATTTAGGATTTGAAATTACATATTTTTTTTTAATTTAAAGGAAACTATATCTATTCATTTTTAAAAATTAAATTAAATTTGTTTTTTACTAAAAACAATTTTTCTATATAGATTTCTAATCTTATTTATTTTTTTCAATTCCTTTTTATATTTGATTCGTTTTAAAATTTTGTATTTTATAAGAATTGTATCAATTCAATTTTTATATACACTTAAATTTAAGATGCATTTAAAGTGATTTATGAAAATGTAAATTATGTAATATATGCCGTAAATTTCCTCACACAAATACTTTGATTTAAATACAAAATTTTAGTTAGATCTAATTTATTTTTTATAATCCATTTTACAACTTGCAATTCAGTGAAACAAAAATTCTGATGTTCAAAATTTAAATAAAAAACGATATAGTCACATACTACTAAAATTTATTTCATTATATATCTTTAATACTGGGATATGTATTTATGTAACAAAAAATAACACGAATGAAAAATTATCATTGTTTTATGAAGTTGATATCACTCTACCATGATCTGTCTTGTTTACATAAAAAAATCATTGGAAAATACCGTAATATATATATATATATATATATATAGTTTATTAATTAGAAGATAAAAACAATGTAGGATTGACTATATATAGTTGGTATGGTATAACTCGACCATAATCGGTCTTATTTACATAAAATATTAAATGAAACACATAAAATATGGTGTCTGTGTATATATTATATTTATATGCACATATATATATATATATATATGTATGAACATGCTCTCATCATGTGGCTAGGTGTGAACTTGACGTGACACTATTAGGTCAACCAAAATATATAGATATCACTAATATAATCAATATTAATATACAGTAAACATTGTTAATTCATTTAAAAATAATAATTGATCATCAAATGACTATTCCATGTCTTGTCTCTGTTCCCCTAGTGGCTTTCATTTTTTCTCGAGGCGGCCTCCAAGCGCCATGTGAATCGTCAAGCTTTTTTTTTCCTTTTCTAAAGTAAAACTATAATAAAATAATTAATATTATTTTTCTATAATTAAGTATTATAGGTTGATAATGACGTAATTAAGGAAATAGTTTTTGGATACGTTGTATCCGATCGCTCACCGATTCCACGAGTAAATCGTGATTCCCCTCCCATGAGGCTGCGTGCAGTTTCTATAAAATATGTATATATTATTATATTGGTGTCCTAACTAATAGGACAATCGCCAAACAAATTTGAAATTTCAATCAGAAACTAGCTTGTCATTTCGGATTCGGTTCGGATTCAGTTTGGTTATATTCAGGTTCGATTATTTCGGTTATAGAAAAATTATAACCATTCGGTTTTTACATAAATTTCGATTTGGTTCGATTCGGTTATTTTCGGTTCGATTCGATTCGGTTTCGATAAAAAACTCGTTTTTTTTTTCAAAGAAATCGTCGGTTTTTTCGATTATTTTTTTATTCGGTTCGATTTCGATTTTTTCGGGTTTAAAGAAATCATAACCGTTCGGTTTTGATGTTGGGTTCGGTTCGGATACAGTTATATCTTATTCGGTTCGATTCGGCTCGGTTATTCGGTTAATAACCGAAATGGCCACCCCTATCAGAAACGGTTTTATATATGTGGGGGGGTAAATTTTGCTTTGATCAGAATTCGATTTTTATTAAAAATGTATATATTATTTTTGTTAAATTTTATATCTTTATATTTTAGAAAAATTAAATTATTCTAATTTTTCAAAGTACACAAAGATAAATACATTAACTTTTAATTTAATAATATAATACACCAAATATTAAAATATATCAAATTAATAAATCAACTCCTAAATTATATCAAATTAATATCTTGATTTCTGAAATTGAAAACAATTCCAAATCGAGACACAAATCAACTAAGGTGTTTTTGAACAAATACTAAGAGTTTTGGAGAATAATTATCCTCAATTTCAGGAGTAAGAAACACTAATTTGACATATTGTAACCTTTAGAGTATTATTTTGTCAAACTAAAAATTGAGATATTTATTTGATATATTTTGAAAAATTGAGGTACCTTCTATTTTTAAGCATTTTCATATGTATTAAATATTTATTCCCATTTTATTATTTTTTATTTTAAAATAGCATACTTAATTATTTTTTAAAATTTATTATACAAACAATTATTTAATTTTATTCGAATATATTTTATATAACAAATTGAATCAAAATGTTTAACCTTAATCCCAATAACGTGAAATGAACTAAACGTTTTTTTAATTTCTCTAAAAAATTCGTATGGTAGTAAAATTTTCATTAAAAAAAATAAAGAATAAAATCTTATCGATGTATCATGAATTTATATAAGAAATTATATATACATATATATATATATATATACAGTTAAATGTGGTTGTGGTTTTCTCAAATGAAATAAATACAGACTAGAATTATATTATGGATTTTACTTCCCTTACAAGGAAATATGAAACTTAATCTGCACATTTTTTTCTTTATTATCTAAATATAATGTTATTATTTAGTTAGTCATATTAAAAATTTATAATCAACTATAACGTTATTCAAATAGAATGTATACATAAATATGGTTATAAAAAAAAACGTTTATTAATTTTTGGTTGGTTCATCCCTTTTCCAAAAATCCGAACCCGGAATAAACGTATAACAGTTTTTACATCACATAAGATTCAACTCTAATCATCTGGAACTGTAAAAATACATGTATGAACAAGCATATGAAATGTCATTATATTCTTTCAACTTCCTCTAAATACTATATTTATATATATATTATGATATATATATATACACATATATATACACACATACATATACATATGGAGCATGTAAGTATGCATAAAATTAGAAAGAGTGAAAATCTTGGGAGAATCCAGGAGGGCCCACGGAGGAGTGAGACGCCAGAGAGGGTTGCCTCCTTCCTTCAGACACTGCTTCTATGTCTTTCAGTTTATCCTATTTTATTTTTTTAACTATATATATTGGGGATTTATTCACCTCATGTCCGTTCAATTAATCTAGACAATAATAAATACAATAAAAAAGTATTTTTTTAAATTAAAATTCTCGGGTTTTCAAATATCAATTCAGCTGATCCAAAACTATTTAGACGTATAAATCAATTGAGAGAATGTTTAGTTGGGATTACATGTTAAAATTAATGATGAATTCATTTCAATTAGATAAAATTGGACCAAACAGTCTATAATCTCATTAGACGATTCCTATGCATTTTTAAAATTAAATAAAATGAATTTGAATCTAATTAATTTTTAAAAAATAAATTAAATTTTACTAAGAAATAAATTCTATAATTAAAAAATGATTTGACATATCTTTATAACAATAAAATAAATACAATGATATTAAAATAAAAAATCTGGCTGTTATCAAAGATTTGAATGAAAAATTCCAAATAAATGGATTTTCAGTTTTCTTCTCGCAAATAATAAACCTTCATTTTTTTTAAGTATTTTCTTTGATATACATATTAATGAATAGATTGGTACAATTGTTATACTAATTAATGATCTTCTTTTAATTCTCTCTCTCTCTCTCTATATATATAAGTTAAATGATGTTCCCATACTGTCCAACCTAGTTGAGGGTAGTCAGACGAAGATTTTTACATTCGAAGTATAATTTAATGTTTGAATTAAAAAAAAAACTAAATTACAAACAACTCTTAGTTTGTTGAACATACAATTATCAAATATATATATATATATATATATATATATATATTTGTATGTATATTTAATCAGTAAAAATGTCTGAAGACAATGAAACGACAAGAGAGTATGGGGATGAGGGTTAAGGTCCGATCGTGGGAAAAAAAAAATCAAGACATAATAATAATGTTCATATATTCATAGGTATCTCAATATCAAAATCCATAAATCCAAATTCGATATCCATGGATCTTTTGATTCGAAATTAGTATCTCAAGCCGTTGATCAAATTAAATATTCAAGAATCAGATAATTTTATTCATCTGCTTTTCTTTTATTCAAGATTTATGAAAATCAGGGAAATTATTAATTTTCAAGATCGAGAGCGTCATTCCCATTACGTGGATTCACGTTACACATGGATCTAGCATATGCGCATTAAAAATAATTCGTCTTAAGATGCGATTGTGTTCGCTTATAAAAATATAGAAATTTACAAGCTCAGAACTAATCGATTATTTTATTTTTAAGATTTTACGACTTTTTTTTGGTATTCTTTTGACTTTTTATATAGAAATGCAGACTTAATTGGTACATATTATAGGAATTTGTAATCGTTAATTTTAAACATGATTGATTTCTCGACTCTTGTTGTATGGACATTATTTTCTAGATTTTATTTAACATTTCTACGAATACAATTTGTTTGGTTCTTCGATGAATCAACCCCACAAAACCATTTTAAAAAAATATATACAAAGAGTTTCTTGATGATTGAACCAGTTATTTAATTATGTTGGAATCCTTAACCAAAGCTAAACCTTAACTTGACAAGCACGTTAGCTAAATCTCATCTAATTTTAAGACGAATAATTCATCACAATGAAGAAAAAAAATAATATAATTGAATTAGTAAAAGGGTGATACGATATATAGAAATTAGAAATCTCAATTGTTTCTCTTTGTAATATTCATAAAATCAAAATATGGTATGCCTCTACCTTGTGGCTCGGTTCATGTTTTTTGTTTATGTATCTATTGGATGTA